GCCACACAGTATTAGGCTAGTAGCTTCCCTCGTTATCTAAGTAAATAAGTAACGAATAAGGAACCCAATCAGACAGCAGAAATTGTGTTAGAACGATACCAAGATTTATACCATATATTAATACATTTATTAAGGGGGTTCGATTCAACTATCAATGGTTTTTTCTCTATCCAGGAGTATCTGGGCTCGAGTACACATGGCTTAAAATTGTATTCCATTTTTACAATAGCCTGATCCAGATTATATCGTCTGCTACAATGGGTTAATACCTGAAATCTAATCACTCTCAAAAAATTATTTAAAAATATGTCAATCTGAAATGCAGCCAAAACATACTTGAAACATAAGTCAATAGTTCTAGTTTGTTTATTTCAGCGATGATCCGAGACAAAATTCATGTCGTCCGTCGCAGCGTGGATACAGTCAACGGCAATGAATCTATTAGCTACCGTGACCTTGGAGAGGCTATCAAGAAATATGTGCGATCGATTATGAAAGAATATATTTGTCAAAGTCCAGACAGGGTTTGCGTGGCAGGGCCCCCTGGAACTACAGGCGTTCGTGGACTTCCCGGAAAGAGAGGGCCTAAAGGAATTAGGGGAAAAAAGGGAACGCGAGGAGTTATGGGGCCTCCGGGAAAACCTGGAAAGCAAGGCGTCAAGGGAGATATTGGGCCTGAGGGGGTCAAAGGAGAGAAAGGTAAACATAGTCATCATAATAATGATAACGGCAAAAGTAAAACTTTCTTTTTCCGGTAACGAAAAACAGATGACGTGTTCAAATATTAAGACGGTGATAGTTTGCTGTGGTTATTTTATTTGGATGTGCTTTAGTTTAATTTTTAGCAACTAATTCATTTTTATTGGTGTTTAATTGCTTTTCTAATTTCATTTTCAACATTGGTTAATGCTTATTGTGCCTATATAGCGAGTTAGCAATTCATATGAGAAGTTTAAAGAGCGCGAGAGAAGCACAAGTTTGCTCGAGGCATAGCCGAGAAAAACTCCAACTTCTTGAGTGCTTTGTAAAATTCCAAAGTGTATCTTAATTAACCTTGTCATATAGATGCACAAATACAGGCACGAACCAATTGCTTTGTAGCATAGTGAACCATCTTTTGCATGACGAATAATTTTATTACAATTGTGATAATTGTGTTAGATTTACCAAATCAGGTGCAACCCAAAAACTCCAATTAAAAAGCAAGGCAAAGGGCCAAAGATTTATTCCAATAAGGGCTAACTGTGTTGTTTGAAAGCGAAAGGCGTAAGAATGTCTTGGGTGTACGAGACCAGTGCAATAAATAAGCGTTGCTGGAATTGTTGTTTACTTAAGTTCATAGCATGAGCATTGTATAACGTTGTGTTAAATATTATAAAAATTGTATGGTTTACAAGAAAAATGTTTTATTAAATAAAACCTTTAGAATATATCACCAATTGAAAATAATATTTACCGTTCCAAAGAACAGTTCAAAGATCACAAACCCTGACTTAAAGTCAGAAAGTTCATTGCTCACCTTCCAGCCGTGATTCGTCCGTATCGCGTTTGAGAATCAAAGCGCAGTTGAAACGCTAACTCTGACCGAACTTTGTCACTTTTTGGGTTAGATATCCATTGCTATCTGAATCATCTTGCGTAACCATTTTCCTTTTGAGATCATTTTCAATCATAGTGGAAGCTTTGCATTCAAATGCAACTGCAAACACTATGTTTTTGACGCGCGGGAATGCGTCCATAGAGATTTTTCCCACAATGGCTCAAAGGAAATTAGAAAGGACAAGCACGTGCCACTCTATTACCAATTTCTGATTTTTAATCAATGTTTGCCTTTATTAATTTTTTGCTGCCTTTTGGTTTATCTTTTCAACAGATGAGCAACTTTTCACCTTCTGGCCATTTCTTTTAAGAACGAGTAGCGTTGTTAGACTTTTGTTCTATCAGTCCTCCTAATTTTTTGCTGCCTTTTGGTTTATCTTGTCAACAGATGAGCAACTTTTCACCTTCTGGCCATTTCTTTTAAGAACGAGTAGCGTTGTTAGACTTTTGTTCTATCAGTCCTCTAACTAGTCCTCAGTTCTCTTAGAGAGACGATTATCGTTGTGAATAGGCATCTCTCTGGTTGACAAGGTGTCTTCCATCTTAAATAATACCCAAAGAACACTCTTAATCAGAATACAGTGTCGCCACAATCAAAAACACACAGACAAAACCACTCAAGGAAATTTAAAGTAGATATCGCTTTTTCAAAATCTACCGAAATTAGTTCTGCGAAGCAACATGTATGATTGACAAAACTAGATAAGTACAAGTCACCCTCTGAATCTTTATAGGCTTTCTTGTAATCACTCAATAACAAAGCCGTTGTTTGGCATTGTTGTTTAGTTGCGTAAAACATATTTTATTTCTTAGGTCCTAGTCAAAATAATTCAGTATCATTTTATTTCCTTTAACAACTCTTCTGTTCTCACTGTTACATCCAGGAAACCCAGGGACACCTGGAGAACCGGGAGCTAAAGGTGAACCGGGCGAGTCTCTATCTGCCCCTAAAGTGACTGTATCACCTACTTCAAACACTGTTACTGAGAACCAAACCAGCACGTTTTATTGCTCGGCCAATGGCAATCCAGCGCCTACTGTCACCTGGAGTAAAACTGGTAGTACAGAACTCATTGCAGGCCGACATAATAAGTTGGAAATTAGAAATGCTACCTATAATGACTCGGGAAATTACGTTTGCACGGCTAAAAGCATATTAGGTAGGGTACGAAAGCAGGTGAATCTCCTTGTGGAAGGTAAGCATATTCAGTGGACAGTAGGGTTTGTTTCAGTCAGAAATTATGACCCTAATGAGTTTATCTTCGAATTTTTATACAGGTTGACGTAAATTATCGCGGAATGTTCGATAATTTCATTTCACTCTTTATTTACGATAATAACAATGTCGATAATAACACTAATGCTGATAATAACAATAATAAAATTGCAAATGACGATAAGAATGATAATGTTTATAATAATAATGATAGTGATGATAATGTTAATTATTATACAAACATTAAAGATAATAATAACATTAATGTCTATAGTCTACTATCGTTGCTGTAATTATGATTTTTTCTTTTGTCCTAGCATTTGATTTTACTAGCCTAAGTCTCCAAGATCTGTACTGTATAT